TGTATATACATATATATATACATGTATATACATATATATATATATATATATACATTTATATGTATAATATATATTTTAAATGCATTTTTTTAGTAAATGTTGATGTTTTTTTAATTTGTCTATTTGATTAATTGTAACACGATTCATTTTAGTCTTGGCTGCTGTTTGTAATTTCATGTTGTTGTACTGAATAAATAAAAATAAATATATAAATAACCATTTAAACATTATGTTTTAAACACTATAATTCCCTACACTACCCATTTCCATCCTATTAAACTTCTAATGCCTATCATTTAATGTTTCCATTATTATACAAATATTAAGTGAAATGTAAAAGATGGATTTTTTATGTCGTAATTACCCCCACTCTTGTCATGTCTGATGTTATCTTATATTTTTTTGTATATTATGTACTCATTGAGTAAAAGATACAATAAAATTTCTTATATATACACACACACATTTTTTTTTAACAACTTAAGATTAAATTGATTAAAACTATAACATTTTGTGTACCCTGAGTTTGATAAAATTTGTAAAATTATTTGAAAATTTCCATTGAGAATTTATTTTATTTTTTAATTGTGAAATACATGTCTATTTTGTGGAGGCTGATATTCATACTTGTTAAATTAAATATAAAATCTATTCTTTTCTGGGGAAAAAATGAAGTAATATATGCGGTAAAGTGTGAAATCTAATATTACAGGGATTTTATCAACATCCAGGTATGGCAAGCTCTAGCAGACCACATCTTAGTTTGAATGTTGTCACTGACACTATACCATACCTCTGTAAAGATGTATACCTATCTTGATAGTCTTGCTCAGATGAGTTGTTGAATTTCTAGACCGGGTATTGTAAAAGATGTCCATTCAACAGTTTGACTGCATAATTCTACTCTAAGCCTTCCAATCCATTTAACATTGTTGAAAACTATAGTGATGGAAGAAAGTATACTTTATTTGTAACATATATATGAATTCGAGGTTCTTTAGGCTCATTGCAGTCAAGGCCAGTTGCCACCTTCATCCAGGCTTTTGCCAACCAGCCTTTACTACTCAATCCACTGCCACACAGCCCCTTGCAAGTTAGCCCTTTTGCCATCTTTCATTCTTGCGCTCCCCCACCCCCTGCCCGCCCAACTAAGGCTTTTTTAACACAGCCTGTTGCCACTCTACCTCCCTATGTTCATGATTGTCATATCACACCCATACACGGCAGCCAGGTATTAATACATAAAACTCATAATAGTGTAGACATCAGTTGTCACCATGTGTCACATTAATTCTCCAATCCACCAATCATATCTGAGTTTTGATATTAACTTACTGTTTCAATCATATCTGTTGCATCTTTTTCCCTGGCACTGTCTAGGCCACTTTTAAAGACAGCCTTTGCTGAGTTCATGTTACCAGACAATGCATGTAACCTGCCATGAAGCAACAGTAAATTAAGATCTTCTGGATCTACAGACCTCGCTGAATCTAGAACTGCAATTGCTGAGGCGTAATCATTATAAAATGCATGCCATTTCGCAAGGTTTTCTAAAATTATCTGTAAAAGATTGAAAAGGGTATTTTAAAACTGATAACAACATAGACAAATGTGTATGCTTTGCACTGGAAGTTATTAAAAGTTGCATTAGCATATGGCCCGAATCTCTGTTGTGCAGAAACGTAGAATGGTCAAGGAGTCAAGGATGAGTGAATCCATTCTAGCGTTACGTCGTCGTGCAAATCTAAAGCTCCCTTACAACAGGACCTGGTGTGAGAGATGCCTTACCACATCATCTGGAAATTTCTCTGCAGCAGATTCTAGGATCTTTATGCCATTCTCTCTTTGCTCATTTTTGACGAACTCAGAATAGCAATAGCTATAGACGGAGGCATCAAATTCACCAGCGGTTAGGTAACTAAGCAACGTGTCAGCGTCACCCGTTGGTGAGAGCTCCCGTATCTTGATACCAAGTAGTTGTTGACTGTTAGGAAATCTAAAAAAAATTCAGATGAAATTGTTCATATTCCGCTATTACCTATGTTTTTATTAATGTATTATGAAATGGATAAAAAAATAAAAAATAAAATATTTATACCAGTACAAGATATCAATACCATCAAGTAAGTATAAAATTGATTCAATTGAATACATTAATTGCCTACTTTTTATTATAACTTTTTTAATAGCTTATGACTTCTGTATTTATTATGTTTCTGGTCTTAAAGATACGAGTTGGAAAAATTTCAATAACATCCTTACATACTGTTAGTTTAAAATATTAATATTATATTGATTTCAATTCAAGACATTATATGCATTTATATGTTGACAGTGGATGTACACTTGAAATAAGGGATAAGGACCTGCAATTACACCACTAACAGCACAAATTTAATTTTTACTATGTTTTTTAAATGACAATAAAAAGTATCATATTGTATCGTAACATGTTTTTTTTAATTTTATACTCATAGATTAATGAGCATACTGTTAATATTACTTCGCCATGCAAACCTTCAAACAATATAAGCATAATGTTCCTCATTTTTACAACTTGAACATATGATACTAAGATGTAGTCCAAACGGTCATTCTTTTTTAAGCATTATGTTTTATTTTTTCCTGCAACATATTCATTGCTTATTAGTAATACTCACTTGCGTAAACCTGCATCAACAGAGTATTTACCCATGACGTTGGTTTGTTCTTCTGGTGGGAGTTGCTGTAGTGTTAATGCAAACACTGAGAAATGCTGATCCGTTGCAAAATCTGTTTGTAGAACGCGTAGCAACGATCGTTTGGCATTAGCATAGTCGCCAGTATTGTAATAATGTTGGATCATAGCATTGTTCAGACCTGGAGCAGACATGTTCAGACGCCCTTGTTTTTCTAAAATTTCACCTTTAGATCGAGAAAAAAATTTTGTTGGAAATGTAAATTGGGGATCGGATTTAACACTAGTCACTAAGCAGAAGCTTGGTGGTCTAGTGGTTATGACACCAAGTTAGTTATCTGGAGGTCATGGGTTAGATTCCGTACTGAGTACTTGGTACATTACTCCTAAAGTATGAAATTACTCAATTAATTTTTCACATGCATAGTTACCAACCATCTATAATTTCAAAGTGTTTTTGAATGAAACATGTACTTTGCAGAAACACATACATAATCAAAAATTTGTCATGCATTTAGCACAAGTTTATTCTTGATAACAAATTTTCACAAATTCAGGGGAAAATGTATTTAAAATTAGAAAAAATCGGTGTTATTAAAAATATTTAAAAAATGGACATGCAGTGATTTGGGTTATTAGAAAGCTTTCTTTCGAGATTCAATTTATCAAGAAACTTTCTTTTTCCTGTATAAATGTTTGTGGCTTACATAGTTCGGGTGCTTAAATTAGACATAGGCCTACATTGAAACTTGAATTGTACATGCTTTATTAAAAATATTTTTAAGGACATGGGATTATCAACAAACACTCCCTGAAATCGGTTGAAAACGCTTAAAAATGCTCAGATTGTCGGTTCTGCCCCAGAATCCTGGTGGGGGCCTTGGCGGACACACTCCCCCCCCACCCCACCCAACCAACTGGTATAGTCTCTCACGCATATCAAATCTTTTAGGTTGGCTTGCACATGCTGCATTTCAATTAATCTTTCAACCTTGGAGTTAAATGGGTACTTGGTAGAATTATAAAACTATCAAGAAGGGAGCGTTCACATCGCGGCCCTGTTCCTACCAATCCATTTACCACTAAACACGAGGATTGTAATGTTGAGTTTTTATAACTAAATCAGCATCTCCACGGAGTATAAACTTGTGACAGACTTGATAAGAAGAGCTCAGTTAATTTTTCACATGATGCATTTGAATGAATCTTTCAAAATTTAGAGTTATTTATTTATTCACATAAAAATATATTTCGTGGCAGCACAAAGCTGAATTGATAAATATTAACAAAATTTGACATTAAAAATTAAAATCATATATAATTAGATAAAATTAGTAAAAACACAGAAATTACAAAAACTTCATATAGAAAAAGTAAAACGCTACCTCAAAAATATTAAAAAGCTATAAGTACAAAATACAAAAGTTACAATAATTACGAATTTGAAATTTTTACATTGAGATAAATATTTAAATTGGTTATAAATAATTTTATTTACACATTTTAATTTCATTATTTAAAAAAACAATTCAAGTAAAAAAATCATTTATTTAGTAATTTACAGATTGATGAGAAAGAGGATTATTTAAATCGTTCTGTATGGCAAAACTATTCCTCAATCTTCCCATTATTTCTTAGGGTTCTTTTACTTATTTCTCATCTACGTTTTCTAATAGCGTTTGGAATAATATCATTTATGGTTTTAGCAAATTTCATCAAAAGTTCATCTCTTCTCTCGTCTAATCGCGTTAAGATTAAGGCTTGTAATGCAATAGGATATGAAACATAATCTTGGCCAAAAATTATTTTTAAAATTCTTTTTTGTATCATCTCTAACTCATTTGATTTGATTTGTAGTCACGGATGTGTGCCACACTGGGCTAGCAAATTCTGTGATAGGCCTAATAAACGATATATAAATTTGTCTAAGTTGATTGATAGGCATACCAAACTTTTTTAAGCATGTACATGCTTAAAACATGTATAAATGTTTTAAGCATGTATAAATGCCTGTCTGACTTTCACAACACTTCATTTCTGTGGGCATCCCACTTTAGATTATTGCTCAAAGTAACTTCTAATAATTTTATTTGATTTACTTTACTTACATGATTATTAATAATAGTTAGGATTTGGAAATCAGGTACAATTTTAGTAAAAGAGATATTCATACATTTACTTCTTTCTGGATGGATTGTCAATTTTGTTTTCAGTTGAGCATGCGAGAGTTCATTTAACTGTTCTTTAAAGTAGACAACTCATTTTTTTTATACCTCACGCAAAATTAAATCGTCTACGTACTTCCAGCGGTTATCATAATTACTAAGAGAGTCATTAACTAGAACTTGAAAAATCATTGGTCCCAGTTTCATACCTTGTGGTACACCCCAAATTATTCATTGCCATTCAGAGAAACCACCCTTATATGAAACACGTTGTTTCCTTTCCGAAAGAAAATCACATATCCAAGGGATTAATTCACGTTGTGCACCGATGTCGATCAGTTTGTTTACAGCAATTGTGTGGTCTATTAGATCGAATGCTTTCCTGTAATCGATTGCTACAAGGGTAGCAATGCTATTTGGCAAATCCAAACCATGGTGAATGAAATACATTAGGTTAGTAAGGTAATGACTAGTAGAAAACTTCTTGCAATTACCAAATTGTCTTTCATCAAGATATGGGGCTATCTGTGGACATAACTAATTCATAATAAAGCCTTCAAGTACCCTAACATAAATTCATGTAAGTAATGGAAATAGGACAAATTTGATTAAGACTTATAGTACCATTCTACTTGGGAATGGGTGTGATAGCGGCCTTTTTCCATCTTGTCGGTACCTTTCCAATTGCAAGTGAATTATTAAAAATATTCCCTAAGAGTACAGCTAATTGGAATGCGAAAATTTTTATTAATTGGGGAAAAGATCGCCGGAAGCTGTGGACTTATTGCAATTGAGTTTCTTTAAACAGTTGTACACATCCCAAAATGTTAACGTAGGTGGGGGCAATTTATTTGGTAGGTACGTTGCTAACTTTGAATTTAACTTTGAATTTATATCATTCGTGTTAATAAGGTCATGCCACTCTTTAGTTGTAATCCACCTGCCAAAAGCGCTTATATTAGATTCGCTTAGTTACCATGCTTCCAACTAACTCAGGCTTTGGTTTCCAACATATTGCTGCATGGTCTCTTAATCCAAATGGAGCATGCACTGCTCCAGTGCATTGAAAATAATCAGCTAGATTGGTGACAATTAATCCAATATATTTGCTCCTCTTGTTCTTTAGCTACATATACTGTACCATCTTTAACACTGCTACTCCGCCACCATTTCTAATTTTTTGTGCCACCACAATTTCATAATGTAAATGTACTGTATGCTCATTTTTCTTATTTATCCCTAACTCGCTAAAAATTCCAATATCCACATATTTTTTCCCTTTTTTTTCTAGACATTTTTTTTCCATATTTTGTATAACAACTAAAGTAATTGTTTATACTGTCATTTCCACATCAGATGCAAGTCGCAGTTTTTCCCATACCGGTTCATAATGCACTTCTCCAGTCACTTCTATTTGGAGTTTTCATGGTTGTCAAATTCCACTGGATTCCTTTAGTATATCCATTCATCTTTTCACAAAATTTTAAACAAATTTTGTGAACAATTTCAATGTTTTTTTTTTTGTAATGTATGTAAATTAATGTTTTCTTGCCATGTTCCCATTTTAAAGTAAGCAAGTGCCCAAGATCCTATCTGTTTCTTAATGTTCAACTGAATAGTGGTTGAAAAAATAAGTCTATTTGCCTGAAAAAAAAAAATTTTGAGCAACATACCAGAAAAAATGAATTTTGGGCAATAATTCATTAGTAAGTTTGACAACTGTATTGTAAATTTTCATGTTAATTTCCATTTTAAATTTGAATATTTATATCTCTTATACTAATACAAAATATTGCTAATTTCTAATTGCTATTTGATATTACCGTATCTTATATTTTAATTTTATATCTTTATACTTTAGTTGATGACATAAATTGCACAAAAAAATAAATTAATAAATATAAAACAATTAAAATTCCATTCATTTTTAAATTGTAATGTTTGTACAAATTGTATCTTTATATGACTTTGTTGTTTTATATACAGTATGTACTTTTGTATGTATTTTTTTTTTATGTGGCTGTAAGAATGAGCAGTCTGGCAAGTCTATGTCTTATAAACAAAAAATGTCCAGCACCAGAACATAGCTGCATACAATAAGGTCGAGAAGCTTTGATCTTTGGGGAAGCTAAAATTTGTTACCTGCATTTTGGTAGTATGTGTGTGCGTTGGCCATGTCCTGCAAGTTCATATATGATATGGCAACGTTTTCTAATGCTTTCACTGTATCCTGATGTTCATCTCCATGGCATCTCTAACAAAGCCAAAAAAGTAGATACACACAAGGTATTAAGTAAAACTCAAAACACCTGTTCACACTGCATTCTCAATTTTGGCCAAACTACCCATGCAGCAGGTCACTTTGGACAAAATAAACTCAACAGTGTGATCCACTGCATATTACTCTCCTCGGTAAAGTTACCCAAGATGCACAGAAAGTTCACCGAATGAACATTGCCAAAGGAGCAAAAATGTGGAGACCCTAGCCTATTTTCTCGAGGGCCGCCCTCGGGAAGATAGGCTACGGTCTCCATACCACAGACGTTCTATTAATTTATGATATGCACCAACGGTAAAGGGGAAGCAAAATCTATGATGCTGGGAGAGATTGGCCTTTTGATCGCCTAGCCCTAAGAAGTAAGCCTAGGCTTACGTGGTGTGTACATACTCTTTTCATTACTTTTTAGGTCTCATAGAATATATGTATGAGGATATAAAACAAATATTGACTACTCTAGATTCGGGGAACGGTAGAGGGGCTATAGATTTCACCATTCCCCGAATCTAGAGAAGTCAATATTTGTATTATCTCCACTTTATCACAGTACTCTTTTCTTCTTATTTCTGCTATTGGCATGTACTTTTAATGCAATATATATTTATTAATACCTTGAACACTTGTAGTGCTTGAAGAGTCATTTCAAGTGCTTTATCGTTCAGGTCCATTCTCATCATCTGAGCGCCATATGACATCAGTGACTCCGCAACATCTGGATGCTCTTCACCAAAGGCATTTCGACGAATGTCAACAGACCTGAAAGCAGGAATGTTCATTGTTCTATTTATTCAGTTAAGAATATTGAGATTTAAATCAGTGTTCACAGACTGAATCAGTATGTTTTACAAAAGGAATAATAATAATAGTACAGGGATTTATACTTAGTGCGCCTTTTGCCAAGGGATACAAGGCGGTGGCAGTGTTATTACATTACCCCTGGTAATTGGACACATAATCAAACCAGTCGGCATTATTTCTTAGGTGTGCTTTGCAATTAAATGCCAATATAGCAGAACCTCGATTTTACGTACGGTACGGGACCGCAGGGATTCGTAAAATTGAGGTTGGGTTAAATTTGTGGTGACCTTTGACCCAATACATATGTAACACTCAATAAATGTAGGCTTATGTTATGAACGGACGAACGATGTTACCTAGGCTAGACCTTGTCTCTAGGCCTATGAAAAAAAACTTAGTGTTTACTGTTTTTATTCATCATTTTATGATGTCATAATAAAGTGTTCAAATAAAACCATGTGTGTAGTGTATTAATTCATCATTTTATATCTTTTACTTAACTAAAGAAACATGAAAATATTGTAAGATTACCTATACAACAAATGTAAACTTGGGAATTCCTCTTCATGGCTATTCTAAACTGTGGTGTTGTCTGGGCCGCTGAGACAAACTAAAACATGTGCACTGCACTGGGCGAGCCAACCAATTAGCGATCGTGTATGCGAAACAGCAGCCACGTGCACCGCACTGGGAAAGCCAACCAATTAGCATTCGTGTACGAAATTATGCCTACCCAGCTTCGCGTAGAAAATTCGACCAGACGAGTTTTCCACACAGAGCTAAGGAGGAAAGCAACTATTTTGAGCACCATCGGTAGTTGTTCGTCTTGCTCAGTTCACGAGGTTTTAGATTATAACAGCCCGGTATCAATCAACGTTGCTGTTTAATGTATATAACTTGCATATGGTTTGTTTATTGTTATAGTATTGAAATAATAAGTAGTAATAATTACTTATGGTGGCTCTGAAAAGGGCTGTTTGTTTTGAATAATTTCGTGGTTTTTGATTACCTCATCGTCGATATGAGGCGTACGTAAAACCGAGGGTTCGTATAACTGAGGTACGTAAAAACAAGGTTCTACTGTACTAAAACATTTGTTGTCACATCATCTTACCAGGTACCCATTTATACACAAACACAAATGTGGGTAAAGTGCCTTGTCCAAGTGAAAATCACGGTAAAGGTTCAAAAATTTTCACTAAAACCAGCCAATGAGCAATCCAACTATTACAGTAGAGATCAGTGAGGCAAACTACACCATCATGTTTTTTCTTTGACTCGAAAGTTAAACAAATGGCTGCCTACAAATCTTTCTCTATGAAAATGATAACCTCGAAACTCTAACTTTTAAACTCAAGCGCAAATAACATCCAAAATTTTACTACTAAAAAACATATAGAGCACAGGTGGGAAAAGTGCGGCCCGCGGGCCGCATACGGCTCATCAACGATTTTTTTGCGGCCCACGACAATGAAGTAAAAGCCTATGTTTGCGGCCTGCCAATCAAAATTGGCTAGAAAAGAACTTGTTTTTTACGGCCCGACACCAATAATATGTCAAAAGTAACATTAAAACTGAGAATAAAGGTGATGTAAAAGCAGTGATTGGAGGTTTTTGGAAGCTCACTGGAACATCAAAGTTTGGGTGCGGCCCTCGGTGTTGAATCAAATGTTCACTTTGGCCCTCCGACCGATTTTTATGCCCACCCCTGATATAGAGCAATTGAGAAATTATACTGTACCTCTGAAAAATTTTGCAGATTTCATCAACACTTTTATCTGGTAGACGAACATACGACATGGCCAAGTTCAACAATGTCCCTCCCACATTTGGGGGCAAACTACCATAGTAGAGCTCTTCATAAATCTGTATATTAAAAAATAGATATGTTCAATCAATTCCTAGACCGAGAAAAAGCAAGATAAACGCATGAGTAATTGATAAATAAGAGAAAACTATCTAATCACTTTCATAAGGCTTCAATAATATATTTGGTAGTTTTCATGCTTTTTATGTATCAATTATATATTCCTTATTACCATTTTTATATCTAGGTTGTTCTGAATTATCATCACCCTTCATAAATTTACCTCTAGTGCTTTTTCAAGGTGTTTAGAACCCTGTTCATATTGGCCCATCTGAGCTTCTATTTGTCCAAGATTGTTGTGGCTCTCAGCCAGACACCTTTCATTCCGTCCACCATTTTCCGTTTGTAGTTGCAATGCCCTAGAGAAAAGTTCATGGGCCTTTTGGAAAAAAAAAAATTAGAGATTATAATTGTACTACAGGATATGTCACATTCATTTAAATAATAAATAATAAAAATTGTATTATTTATTTATTTAATAAAAATAATACGTTTTTTTATGAATTAGTGTATTATTCTTTATTTTAAACAGAATTTGAAAATAAATGCCTTCAAAAGTAACTTGTTAAAAACTTGTTTAAAATGATTTGTTGGTTTTATATTAAAGCAACAAATTCACTATAAATATTATAACAATAATATATATTCCTACCAAAATTTAGTGTTCAGATTGTTTTGAATTTTCATCTCAATTTGCAGCAAAGTGCATTATAGCTCTGTTTACTTCATAGTGGTGCATCACATTTTATTTTTTTAATTCATAAACAGAGCAGTTCCGTAAAACACCATGATGCCTATACGAGTATGTTTACCTTCTGAAGGTTGCCTTGGCGATAATCTATGAATGCCAAGTTATTGATTGTTGCCGCCAAAGATGCCTTTCCAAGTTTATCAATGTATCTGTAAAAAAATATTTCATAAAACTATTTACTCATTTTAAAAATTATTATTATATAATTAAGTATCTTCCAAAGACTCAAACAAGAAAAAGGTTTTCCTGCTAACCTCACCATATGTGTGGGGAGAGACATTTTTGTTGGAGCAGTGACCAGATGCCCTAGACTTCGTCTTAGTTTGGAACGCCTCTCCCAGACTTACTGGACTGCCATTTTTATAGCCTCCCCTCCCCATTCACTTACTTTTCTCTCAGTGCTAGAATCCTCAGATGGTATTTCTCTGCTAACTGGAATTTCTCAGCACTTGCATAGGCACAGGCTAGCTTATTGTTGATGATGCAATATTGGTCCAAGACATCACTGTCTCTATGTTTTGTATCCTCCCCATATACAGTCTCCTAAAAAAAATTAAACAAAAAAACAAAAATTTCAACAAAGTTGAAAATCAAACTTTATCTCTTCATTTAACTAACCAAATAAAAATAATGTATTTCTTTTCTTTTTTTTTTCCATGAAGCCACACTCAACAAGGCTGATTTTCATTGGGAGTCCCCTCACATAAAAACTTACGAAATCCACAATAAAACACACAAAACAATTATAATAAAATATTTAAAGACTGGTAATATTATTATTAAATTTATTTCTATTTATTTATTTACTTTACTTTATTTATTTGCTTATCTTTATAGCACTTTTCTTTTCAAACGCAAAGCATTTTTTTCCTGGTAATTCACAGCTTGATATAATTTACGCTGTAGCTACAGATATGGTACCATATATCTACTTCCATTTGCTAAAGGTAAGGTAAATGAAATTGTAAGTGACCATTGCCCAACGAAGTGCCGAAATGTGTGGGACATCACCTTTCAAGACCGGCAATGGCATATTGCAGATCGGCAATCGCCCACAGTGTGAGCTGTGTGATTAGCGAGTACTAGATTAGCACATGATTAGCTAGGCAGAGAGTACAGTATTTTTCTTATAATACTGTCATCGATAAATAGGTGTAAGGGTTCCACTGCAGTAATAAGAGTCATTCTATAGCTATATCAAGCAAGGCCTGAATCCTCAATACCAACCTTTTGACGCAAGCCCAGGCCTTGCTTAACCTCTTCACTTACTAGTCTCTGGTCTCATTTTCTCAATCTGGATTATAGCCGAACAATGTTTACAATTGGGGGAAAGTACCATAACAGCAACGGAGGCTATGTAAATATTCAGTATTATAACCTAGCTTCCTGAAACCTTGCCTTTAGCTATTTAATGTAAGGTATTGTAGGGGTAAATCTCATGATTCTTATATGTATTAAATAATAAATTATTGATTTTAACTTGTGTGTTTGATAGAATTGCTTGTCTTGTGTGGCTATGTCTATATGGACCAATGTCTCATTTGCTGTGGCCTATTTACAAAATACAAAATCTGGATTCAACACTTGAGCATAAATACAAAAAATTACTATGCCGGTAGTTTAGCAACTGTAAATTTATTTCTAGTAATTGAACGTAAGGTATGGTCCAACTACGTCACTATTCCTTATAGTCGTAATAATTATTAACCTTCATTTTAAAATGAGTTCAGACAGACTGCACCACTAGGCTGAGCAAAATATTGAAAGACAACAATATTGAGGTTATTCCTAGTATTTTATTGCAAAAAAAGACAAATTAATATACTGTATTATAAGTACGCCTATGCAGTTTTCTTTGTAAACCGGGAGAGCATGTGAAAAAAAGTGAAAAAAACAATTGACTGGGAGTCAGTTCACCCAAACAGACTGATATATGACACCACAGATCGATCTCACTAGAGCAGGGCCACTGCCAGACAAAGAATCTAAGCAAGGCCCAGGCCTCCCAAGATTTTGGTATAGGATTCAGTCCTTGTTTGATATGGCTATAGGCCTATGATATGACTCTTACTGAGTGGAACCATACGCTTATTTATCGATGACAGTACTAAAGTACAGTATTGTACTTTTTGCCATGTTAATCATGTTCTAATACCCAGTAAAGAACATTGTTCACTTTTCACTGCTCATCGTGGGTGATCTGCCATGCTAGTCTTGAAAGATGACATCATGCACTTCAGGCACTTCATTGGGTGATGGTGACGTATTATGCCATTTACCGTACCTCTATAGCAAATGGAAGTAGAAACATGGTACCGTATCACTAGCTACGGCGTGTAATTTAATATTATAATATTACTTTAACTATTATCAAATATTTAAGATTGTTAATTCCATCATACCTATTTATTTTTATTTACTTATTTGTTAACAACACCTTTCTTTCAAATATGAAGCATTTTTTTCCCAGATAATTCACAACTTGATATTCTGTCCCGTAATCCAGTTGCAAAGTCGTCAACAATATGAGTATTGGTATTTTCAAATACCCAAAACATGTTCTCAATGTCCTACAATATATAACTATTTAGAAATTTGAATATTTCATATCCATATACACCAAACATACATAGCCTGCCTGCTAATACAAAAAACACTGTTCCTGAGGTAAAGTTGACCAAGTCTGTGGGCTACAGCCCAACCATACTGCTAGACAGCAGAGAACGGTTGCACACTGCAAGAATTAATAGACCTAACAACCAGGATAAAATAATGTATTGCACCATTCATCAATTATAGAATTAGAACCACATAAACTGTGGGTATTACCATTACTCACATGCAGTCGTAGCACCCTCAACAGAGGAGTTTCCTGGCAGGTCATGTGACCTGCTAACTGTAAAAAGTCTGCAACTGCATTTACAAGTGGTATCAACTGAAAGAGAAATAGATGCCAATAAAGTTAAAATCATCTTGACATATTTCACCAAAAAAAATCTTGCTTATAAATGAAAGCCCTGCTTCAAATTCTAAAGTGATGAATACAGTTATTAACAATTTGCATGAATATGCATAAATTTCCATGAATTAGCATTACATTTAAAACAATTTGTTTTTTAAATCTCTCCCAAGTTGAGAGTCAAAGATCTTCCATTCCTAGAATAAAGAGTTGTGATAATAATATCAATAGTCAAAACACCAGGCTATAGTACCAGACCCCTCGAGAGGATGTGAATCCCATTCTTGGGATTTACAGGGCAATACCTGATACCATGTTTATTTCTTAATGTTCATCTCTTTCTGAAATTTTTTATGCTGTTTAAATAATGTATGGTATCAAATTAAATCAAATAAATCTAATCTAATATCAGATCATAATTGTGAACTTTACAACATCTGCATCGATTAACAAGAATCGGGCAATGTTAAACCATTTTGGTTTTCTTTTAATTGAAAGTTTCAGTATATACTTACACCATAATTGTTATTGCTACTGCTACAAATAATATTACTGTATATGATTAAATTATATTTGAGGTTTTTTTTTAACTAAGCCAAAAATATATACTGTGTCATCTGTCAATATCAAAAAAAAATAATAGCATTATAACAAACCATTTTTACCTGCTTTGCTGGTGAGTCACTTTCACCTGAACCAATCTCCAGATTGTCAAGGTAGAGAAGAACTGATTGGTCGTCAACCATCTTCATGTAAGATGACATGACCTTGTCTCCTGAAAGTCCAGTCGAATTCCAGTAGCTGATAAGGTCATAAGCACTGCTTTCACCACTAGGAAAATCAAACAAGAAATGAATTTAATGGTTCACATTCTAAAGCCCGGCCCAGATTATCAAACTTTATTTGACAAAAACAAAATGTGACATTGCCTAAATATGGTCATAATGACATCACATTATGACTATATATAGGTATATCATGACTCTATATGGGCATATAGCAGTTTTTGTCAAAGAAAATTTGATAATCTGGACAGAGTATTAAGTCAGGTACGTGCTGGAATTACCCGACAATTTGTTAATAAAATATGCTGCGTATTGTCAAGAGGCGGACTTTTTATATAAACACATGGTGAAGTACAGTAGCCTATTCTAAAAGTGCTTGTCCACGGACAAGTGGTTCCTAAAATTCTTGTTGTCCGACCGTAAAAAACACTTGTCCCGGGCGTCGGACAAGTGGGTTCACTCATGCCTGTCCACTTAAAATTTATTGTAGTTTGATGAGCCACTTGTTTCTACCTTCTTACAGATTTCTTAGAAAAAATTGATAACAGGTAAAGGTAAAGATACAGTAGGAGAATAACCTATTACTTGCAGCGTCGTGATTATGCTGAATTGCATATGGGCATGGTCTGTGCCTAGCCACCGTAAAGAGGCACTTATAGTAGCTACATGTTCACATCATTCCATAGTGGCAGTGGCTAAAATAAACCATAGCTTCAGGGTAACCCCTTACTCTTTCAAAGATTCAATTTAAGTGCACACAAGCTACAGCAGATGTGTACACTGGACCTCCACTTGAAGTCCTTATCGAAGAAGACCCAGTTTCACCAACCGAACCCTAAGCAAGGAGGCGGCTCAAACCAGCGTCAATGTTAATGCTCTAGTAAAAGGCACCCCTGCCTTACCGCTCAGCACTCGATTCACAAAAATATATGTCTTCCATCTAGTATGTATCTTCACATAGATAATGAATTTATGCTATTATTTTTTACAACAAAAAAAATTATACATTTTTTGCACCTTTGGAGTGTGTAGAAAACAGCAGGGTGTAAAAGGAAATTCTGGAGGTCCTCAGTTGTGCCTGCAGACATCAGTAGACTTGGCAGCTCTTGTAAGATTCGTACAGGAACCTTGCTGTCAAACCTATGGCTCAGCCTCTGTGAAGATACAAATATGATTGCAAGGTTATGAAGGAGACATTCAATAAACCCAACAATCATCTTATATTTCAAAGATTCAAAACTTTGCTGGTAAGTAAATCGCAGCTATCACATAAGGATAAAAAAAAGATGAGAGCTTTCATGATTAACAACTGTCTCTACTTTGAGTTAACCTTATGAAACAAAGAAAATAAAAGAAATCTTCAACATGCCATGATTGGAAAAATATTCATCTTACATTGAGGACAGCACAAAAGTGATTGATTAGCTTTTCTTTATGTTTGTGGCCATCATTAGTATTCTGACAGTATCTGCTTTCTACAGCGGATGACAGCTCAGGATAAGCAAACCTGAAAAGTAAAAACAGTAATTTTGTATAAAAATAAATTATTCTAAAGAATATGTTTTCTCTTTTGAATAGCTGCACCAAAGCTATGGACCAAAGGAAAAAAAATTAGAAACTATGTTGGATTAATGTGCATGTGAATGTGGCTAAAATATCAAATGTCCAGTTTCCCTTATGAAACATCCTTCTCACACACCACATGGCTTTCACAAATACCACAATAACACATTCACTGCTGGTAAAACCTCAATATCTCAAGTAAGTGAAAAGAAATATGAGGATGCGCATGTAGATTTGGGTGCTCTGGTATGATGAGTTTGATTCATCTATCTCACTGTGGTACCGGGTTACCAGGTAGCACAGACACGAAGGGACCCTTAGGGGCAAAGAAAGTCATTGATCGATTTCCTAGTCCACACATCAAGAGCCCAGAGCATCTTACATTAGATGGATATGTGCGCTATATAAAACTACACTATTATTATTATTATTATTTAGTAGCTCAGGTAGCTCAGACATGAACAGACCTTCAGGGGAGAAGCAAGTTCAGTAGTCCACACCTCAAGCATTTTGAGACTTTGGTATAAACACACTATATAAATCCAACTACAATACATTAATCAAAATGAGTGCAACAAAGTACATTAATATTATATAATAAGAAACTTTGCTTTTAAATTATGAATTAAAATTTTCTATGAATGGTAATATACTGTACCTGTATAGACCTGAGCTTTCAATTAAAAAAGACTCAGCAGCAAAAAATATTTGCGACCATTCCTGATCGCTGACTTTGGCAATCACCTTGATTTCATTCTCAGATATACCATCGTGTGAAGCCCAAATGCAACACATAATCTGCAGAACAAGAACAAAACGATTCAACAATCACAAAACAAAATATGTTTATACTGCCATAATGTTGGTTCATTTTCTAAAGTTGCCTGTAAAAGTATTTGTGCATTATCTACAATATTGCAATGATGTGAATTTGAATTTGGTTTTTTCTTTTCATTAAAAATTTAAAAACTGTTTTCTTTCAAAGATCTTATCCCATTGGTCTCTACTTGTATTTTTATGTGCAGGCTGTAATGTTTGCTATGTCAGCAAAACAAGCCTTTAAACTTTAAAACACACGTTCAGGAATACTTAACAGTTAAAACGCTTGAACATTTCCAATCATTGCAAACAACTGATCAATGAAAACTGTGTCTCCATATTGAACTCTGCCCTCACAATGCAGCTTCTCAAAAAGAAGGAAGCATACATTTAGTGGAAACAGCCTTTGCTAAATAACACTTATATCATATTAGGTAAATCTAATATTGTCTTTTTTAAATTTGTTCCTCATTATTCACTATAATTTCTATATTGTCATTTTACTTTATCTCTATTTATTATTGTTATTATATTTGTAGTTAACTCATAAACTCTTGCCATGCAAAAAAATATTGCATGATATATTTATTAACAGTGTTAACAGCTATCTTGATTTATATATATATATATA